ACACACACACACACACACACACACACACACACACACACACACACACACACACATATATATATATATATATATATATATATACATATATAAATATAGGACCACACCGGTTTAAGTTTCTAACAGTGTTTTTTACACAGTGGAAACTACTCTTATCCTGATGGAAAAGCCAGTGCACAGTGCCTGTGATCCCTTCACATCTGGTGTGGCATGCCAGAGAGAAATGCTGCCACTATCTTCCAGCAGAGACCAAAAAGGACATCTACGCATGAAAAACTAGCCCTAAAACATCATGAGCAGAAAATTAAATATCTGAAAGAAGAGCATAACATAAAAATGACAATTTTACAGGTTGAACTAGATATGAAATTAGAAGAGCTGCTCAAAGAAAGATGCATGAAACAGCCATGCTGAACAATTGGATTAAATAAATTGTGTAAATATTAATGTCTGAAAATAAGCTGCTTTAAAGTCCGCATCGACCGTAAACTAAATCTMCTATAATGCATGTTGATCATCCATGGGAATTCCCTGTCAGAAAGTGGGAGAGTTCAGAATTCAAGATGGCAGCTACTCACTAGAAACTCATCATTGAGTAAAACTGTATTAGTTTTACTTTTAATATTATTTCTTTATTATTTATTTCAGATTTAGTCCATCCTACACTTAGTTCTTATCAGTGTTTGCAAAAGGACGTGTTAAAACACGGTTTAGTCGAAGTTAAACATGAAATGTCAAAGTTATTACAACTGGCCCTTTGGGGGCCACCATAACATTCATGTGGCCCTCCGTCAAAATGAGTTTGACACCCATGCTGTAAACAGAGGAATTGATTTTTCCATACTTCAAGCATGCGCTCAAACATTCCTCTTGTGTGAGTATGAGCTCTGTTGAATTTCTCTGTTGTACTTTTATCCTCAGGTGCTTTTCTGGATGGTCTCTGTAGTGTATCGTGATCGAGCTTGATTTTGTCATTCAGCKTGTTTTGATACTGTACTGATATTTTACAGATGTTTTATTGTTTTGTTAATGTTGTTGTGTGATTGTTTCTGTGTTTGTGTTTCTATTTTCTTTCCACCTTGCTGCAAGGAAAATGTCCCTAAGGGGACAATAATAAAACGATGATAATTTATTTAGATGTGCTGCCAAACTGTCTGTGCTCCTTTTCACAAACAATACTAAACAGAAGTTAAACCTGCCTCTTTGAAGGATAAGTTTAAATTTTAATTTAGTCACAAAATAGCTCTGATCCACTTTCCTGCAATTGTCTTTTTTTAATACAGAACAGACTAAATCTGTGATTATTTTAAATCAAGACTGTGCAAGGGACTTAGAGTTAAACCAGTGAGGTTTAAAAACCAGGTCTTCTCGGCTCTGCAAACTGTTGTTGCTCTTGAAGAGAGAAACTCTGAAACAGGCTGGTTGAACAGCAAGAATCTTTATTTTGCAGTCCAGGAGATTTACAGTCGAAAACCAAATAGTGGCCTTCTAAGCCAAATGAATCAACAGCATAAAAAAAGATGAAGACGAAGGCGAAGAGTAGGGYCGGACAAGCCTTTTTATAGGTTTCACAGTGCAGTCCAACAGATGCACCATAAATTTTTGTCACAGATTAACTTAAGCATTCCTTTCCTAATTTGGTAACATGTGCCAAGTTCTGAAGCTGGGGTCTAAGAGAGACATAGTACATCTATGCATTCCTGAGAAGAGGCCTCCACTTTTAGATACTACATAATCCCCCTTCGGGACAAATTTAGTCCTGAAAAAAAATAAAGGATTGGCTGTAAACCAAGAAAAAGTTAACACCTTAGTTACTGCATCACAAAAACTTTGCTGTTCAATTTGATTGTATATTATCATTTGTCCATTAGCAAATAAGTAAACGTTTTAGTCTACAATTTAGAGGTTGTCTATTTTAGCTAGTAACCTACGTATTTTATGTCTTAAGTGCACATTATTTTAAATTACTTTTAAAGTAGGTAAACTAAGCCTAATTTTGTAATAAGGTCAAATTCGGCTACATCAGCCACACCCCCAGGCCTCCTGACTGTAAACACCTCTATGACTGACATGGACAAATAATCCATGCATACTCATTTAAAAATCTGTGTCACTGCAGGGGACCTGAAGGTTGACTCGTTGAAATCCACCTAAAATGACCCATTACGATCAGAAAAACCTCCCCATGAAAAAGGGGTGGGGAAAAGGCCGCAGGTTCCAGAGAAATCCTCACTCCATGCCAATCTGTGAAGGAAATCTCCGTTTGAACCTAACAGTTACCATAAACTAATTTTAGGGACTTTTCAATGCCAATATCATCCCGGTTTGTTACCTATGCTAGTAAGGACAAATGTAATATGAGTCATGCATTAACACAAAGTGAGGCATTTCCATGAGACTCAGCTCACTACATAACATGATCATAATATGACAGTCAAAATAATAAGGAACACATAGTAAATGATTGTCACCTCAAACAATATGATATAAAGAATAAAAACCAAAATGATAAARGCATAAAGAAGAGTATAAGAGTTCTTAACGACGGTAGTTTTTGTTTTCTGTCACCCATGGTGTCTGGAGTCAGTCCTTTTCTGTGGCAAAAATGTTTGAGCAATCACGGTCAGAGTCCAAGTCCTTTGTACTGCCGATCCTGTACAGATTTATGAGTCCTGTCCAAGAATTTGAGTCGAAAGTCCATGTAACCGAATCAGCTTGGTGTCCTGGAAAAACAGAAAACACTACACCAGTATCTTACAAAAAACGACAAGTTTCAATACCATGGATGGAAAATGAACTTTATCATTATGTTTATACAGTGCTGATGAGTAACAGCATGTCTCAATTGTACAAGGGGTAATGTGCCGTGAAGTATGTAACTATTTATATGAGGTGTTAACATCATCTCTCTTCTTTAGTCAACAGAAGAAAATAAAATAAAAGAAAGAAAGACATTCTCAGAGCTGTGACACTTATACTGCTCCTGGTGCTCAGTCAAATAATAAAGGACTGAGTCAAATCAAATGAATAAACAAAATCAAACAAAATTAATAATAAAAGATATATGTGAGAAGAAAAAAAAGAAAACTTCATAGGCAAACAATATTTGTCAATAATRATATCAGTAAAGAAAGAGAAAAGAAAAACATTGTATGTGGTGCCTTAACAGTTACTTATGGCCAGAATAAACACAGAACTAAAAAGGGGGAAACAGTAGCAATTAGCTTTGGACTGGGCTCAGCCAAAACAACAAACAAAAAAACTATAAATTTCTGAGTGACTGCTGTCCTGTCCGTCAAAACAAAACAAACAAATTACTTTCATCTTACCTCCCTAGATTACAAAAAACATGAGAAAATTGAATAAAAAAAATGGCACCCGTCCTACACACATTTCCCTTCACAGTGTCAACACACAGAACTATTGTGAAGTGTAACGAGACCAAACAAAATACTTAAAATGAGTACATTTCCATAACATCATCACTCTGTAGGTGAAGCATTTCCTCCTCACTCACATTTCCATCCAATAATGGCATTTGCGCTTGGTTATCAGGCATCATCACTCCAACCCATCTTAAAATCAGTGCT